GGATACAATCATATCTCAAATTTTCAATCAAACAGTAGTCACGTAAGGCAGTAATTCATGCATTCAAATCATAAAAGCAATAAACCAGATAACATCATAATTTTAGACTGTAAAATAAATAAACAGAGAATAATTTTTGGTTCGGGCTCCATTAGCAATCCGTAATTAATTATGCACATTTATTTAATTTACATAAATACCATATTATTATTAATTTAAACTTTAATTATGTGATAGGAAATAGGGTGAGGGATCCTTACTCGATTTGATGCCCGAAAAGCTAGGTTATTTACTGCGCCTACTAGGGGTCCCTAGGTTCCCTGAATTTTTCTCCGAAAATCAAAACACGCTAATAGTACCTATAAATGTTCCAAACAAACCCAAAATCAGTCCCATGGCCGACTCGACCAATTTTGAAATTTCGGCACAGCGGTGGTCTGCCTCGGATTGGCCGAATTCGGCTGATTTTGCATTGATCCCTGTGAGAAAACACGTTAAAGGGTCTCGGTTGGCCCAAAAAACTGAAACTTACCGGTTGCAGGGCTCTCTGGTGCGACTGCTCCTCTGACTCACGTTGCAGTTTGGTGTTTTGCTCCGGTCAACCTTTTTTAAAGGTCGAAAAGGGTTTCGGTGCGGCGGCGGGTGGCGACAATCAGCTTTCTGGCGGCTGAGTCATCTTCTCTGGCGAGGGGGTTTGGCGGCTGGTTAGATTTTGGTGCGGATGTGGATTATTTATATCCGTCCGTTTTTTATCTGGATCGTCCATCGCATTTGATCTGAACTGTTTAATCGCAATTAAATAAGGAGTGAATCTGGACCGTTCATCGTGATCCAATTTGGTCTGTCCATCGCGATTCACTCTGAACCATTCGATCTAGTTTGAATCTGGCCGTTTGATCGCGTTTAGGAAGGAGCGCATCTAGGCCGTCCATGCGCACGGGAACGGACCTGGGCCGTTTGATCGCGGGCACGCAGATTGCCCACGTGGCCTCCTGCATGGCACCACGTCAGCGTCCGCTGCCACACGGCGCATCCTGATTCACAGGACCTGCTGACCGGACGTTTGACATAGCGAAACTTTTCAAAATTACGTTTTGGCCCATATTTTTCGATTTTTCTTTCAAAAATACACCAAGAACCCAAATTTTCACCATTTTTTCTTAAAATTATTTTCAATTAAATTTTTCGTTAATTTTATTTCATTTTTTACTTTAAATTAAAATAAAAATAAAAAGAAATTAAAAAATTATTTTATTATATTTGAAATAAAATCCTAAATTACAAAAAAAAAAATTTCGGGTGTTATAATATTTATCATGATTTTTCTAATTTTATTTAATTAATAAATCTAAATTATGTAATTAAGAAGTTCATTCATCATTTAATTAAAAATTCTAATGACTCTATAATTAAAGAGTTTTACTTGAATAGAAACTATTTACTAATAATTTTATTAAATTAAAACTGTTCAGCCAAATTTATTTTACACGTTAGACTAAATATTTTAATAAAACTAATGTTGTAATTATCTTAATTGTCTAAATATTTTTTTTTTCGCTTGTGATGAAATAAATAAATAAAATAACTTTTATATAAAGAGTGAATTGTTTTAATTTTAATTAGATATTATAACAAGATTATACTAAGAACGTAATACCGGAGAAAAATCCAAGTACATTAATAATTTCAGTTACCTTTTAGAGTCCCCGCGTTCACACCCATGGAAAAACCCATCAACTTATGGTAACCGTTAGATCAGTTTTCAACGGCTGATGCAAGGCGTTATGTTATCATGCGCTCATGGCCTGAAACAGCTCTTCTTTCACGTGATGCTTTCGTCATGTGGGCCCCATAATCCGACGGCTCTGATCGTCCCTCTTTTCGAAATTAAATTTCGCCTCCAAAAAAAGAAAAAGAAACCAGAAAGGCTTCAACATTTAGTACTTCTCCGTTTTCCTTTGTAGCTCAATGGAGTCTCTTCCAGGAAACACAAGAATTCAATCCTCCATTTTCATTCTTTTTCCTTTTTAAATTATAAATATACGTATAAGTCACAGACAGATTAGTTGCTCTTTTATCCATTTTTGGTGGTGTATGTACATATACACTGTTTTTATACATACAAAACTGTCATGTACTAGGGTTTTAGTATTATCCTGCAGATTTGAAATTTTAACTTGAAGCCATAGCCAAGGGTGTGCATTGAGTTCGGGGCTACACTATCCAAGTATTTTGTTTTTGGAGATAGAGAGCAAAAAGTTTTGGACAGAGATTTCGCAAGGGTGAAAAACGGAAGAATTTCGCAGAACGGAATACTGAAGTGTTAAGAGACAAACATTTATAGAGAGACAGAGTTTCAGTTTTGGGGGTGGGGTGGAGTTAGGGTTTGTGTTTAAGAGGGAAAAATTTAGAGAGGAAAAGCTCGAGCTGCGTTTTTGAGAGTGTGCGTGCTTTTTGGGTGTGATGCTTGAGAAATGGAGATGGTGAACCCGCAGCCATTGCAAGCGCGATCATTCGGTGGTAAAGGTTACGGACTAGCGCAGATACCGATGCAGATCGACAAGGACGAATTAGATGGACGCCAAATTGACACCATGAACGGTGTGGAAGAAACTGGGGTAAGCTCCGTAAACTATGGTGATGGAGCTGTTGCGCGGACGAATCGAACCAGTGAGCTCACTGTAGCGTTTGAGGGCGAGGTCTACGTCTTCCCTGCCGTTACACCTCAAAAGGTGAGAGTACTACAACAACTTTTTTTTTTTTTGGGAAAATTTTGTTTTGTTTTTCTTTGCTTGCAGAGAAGATGTAGTAACGAGAGAAGGGAAATGTGTTTTCTAGTCTTGTTTCTCTGTTAGGTTGTGTTGGTCTGGGTAGGAGATTTATAAGAACTTGTCTTGGCCAAATGCTTCCTCCCCCTCCGGCTTGGAGAACAGAAAGAATGTTGAAATTATAGGTTGATTTTTATTGGCAGTGCTCCAAATATTTTGCTGCTGTTGCGGACTAATGTTTGAAGTTAGGTATGGAAAATAATTGAGTCTTGGTTTGGTTAGTTGGTTTATCTAAAATGAGAACTGAGTTAAAACAAGTGCTTCTGTCCGGCTTGCCGCTAAGAATTGAATTTGGGGCATGTTGATGGGACGACTTTATCTATTTTTTTCTTTTGTTATGAGAAACAATGCGGAGAAAGTACACATCACACTTATTATTTTTTATTTTTTGAAATGCGGATAAAGAGAACCCAAAATTGAATATGAACAAGCTGGGGATGCACGTACAATTAGTTCTAGATGATGGAAATCCTTGTTAATTTGTTTTTCCAAATTTCTTTATTTTTCCTTTGAGGAACCAAAGATAACTTCGACACTCTCCTTGCTCAATCAGATAACAATTTTGATAAGTTCTCTGTGGTTTTCTTATCATTTTGGAATTGTAAAGGGTCTTTATATTTGTGCTTCTTGTTGTTGGAGCTTTGACATGGTGCTGACAACTTCGTACTAAATAGTTTCTGAGTTATTTCTTTCCACTACTTTGTTATAGTTTCATTTTTTATAATAATGAGAAAACCACAGAGAACTGTCCCCCACTTTGGATGTGGAGATTGGATGTCCAAGGGTTGGTCACCCCTTCAAAGATTCTCTGGAAAAAGGACCTTGTAACTGTCCCCCACTTTGTACCTGGTAAGAATCTTATAGATGTTAAGGAAATTTGGAATGACCTTCCATGAACTTTTATGATTGGTGGATCTTGTGGTCACAACATCCTAACCATTCTATTAACTACTGTGAACACTGTTGGTTACTTTATGCCACAAAGAATTAGGTTCCTGCAAAAAAACATCATAACCACATAACTAATATTGACAAGTTCCTGGATTTAAAATTCCCAATGCCCAATCCTCCAAAAGAAATAGTTTTTTTTTTTTTTGGTCAAATCTAGGATTCCTTGGTTATGCTAAGGAACTTCAAGATTAACTGTGAGCACCAGCAACATAGTATGCCTCCTTGTGTGGCACATGACCTAAGTCAAAGCAACCCATGGGTATCCTGGGGGATTACGGATTGAACATACGCACAGAACTTCGTTGAGTAATTAGTTTGTATGGAGGTATTATATATGTTACAATGCATTAGTAGGCTCTATAAAGTTCTGCTTACAATAAGTTCCTGGTTAGTGGAACTGCTGAAGCAGTTGAAATCTGCAATGAGAAAGTTGCTGAAGTAACATGTGCAATGATAAAATATAGTTCTTAAAGTGGGCTATAACAAGGAAATTTGTATAGAGTGACAGAAAAATTCATAGCTTAAGGGTATGGCTAGGTCTTTTTCGTTTTGGAAAAAAAGTATTATAAAGAAGATACCAAGGGGTTCTTCCATGTACAAAGAGAGTGTGAACAGTCTAAGTTACAATTCAGAAGTTCTACTAGGCCTGAGAAGCCCTCATCTCTGAATAAAAAGTGACCAGAAACCTAAAAGAATAAGTTTCTTAGCCAAAATCCTGGAACTTCTTTGGGAGGAGGAACACACTATTTCAAAGGCTTTCATGTTTCTCTCTCTCCAATGAATCAAGAAAATAGAAAATTGATTGAGAGCCAAAATCTTCCTCTGCTGTTCAGAGCAGCTTTGCTGTACCAAGACCAAATCTTTCCCTCAAAAGAGGCAAACACCACCCAGAACAACCCCAAAAACTTGATTGCTACTTTCCACAGCCTTCTAGACCAAACATGCCAGGGTTGAGATGGCAGGGAGACTCTGCTGCATATTTGCAGCAATAGCATGCATAGCCCAAAAAGCTCCACTTTTTATATTGTTACCAATGGTTAAAATATGCT